ATATTTTAGATTTTATATAGTCAAATATTCTATTACAAAACGTATATAATTCTTTGGACACAATATGAACTAGGTTCTTAGAATTCATTTAGTCATTGCTACCATGTGACTGAGTGAACCTCTTGTTTAAAGGTAGTTAGTATTTGCAAATTCATATCCCTTAACCTTATAAATACCTCTTAAAATGATATGCAATCAATCTTGTCACATTGCTTATTCTTAATTTCCGAAAAACTGAAGACTAAATGTAATGAAATTCACTAACTTAACTGTCATTGTTATAATTTTAACATTCTATTAGCTTGAATCTCCTCGATCAGTCCACTCCAGTACCTTGAGTAAAGGAAACTCAACTACTATTCAACAAGCCATTCCTAATGCGGATAACACCGTCCGTCAGGTGCCACGCGCCAATGATTCCATAAAGCAGGAGCCTTTTCATGGTCTTTCTCGTGCTCCCAATAGTCTCCAACTCGGAATTTCAGATCAAGAAGAGTCAGCACTTTCTAGTGGATTTACACAGACTGAGGATGATGAAGAGAATAGTCACATCGTTACTGTTAACTGTGACCATACAATGAAATCCCGCTTAGAACAACAGCAACAGTGCCAGCACTTGCTTCAGGGAGAAGATACTAGGTCTGTTGTCAATAGTCACTTGGATGAAGACGAAATAGGGGTCAGTGGACTAGTCCACGGTGCTGGTGATGACAATGATTTGGACGAGTATGGTGCTGAACTTGATGATTTCGATGACCTAGAGGATGAGATGGAGGAGGAGATTGAGGCGGATGAGGAAGCTGAAGCAGAAGCGGTGGGGGTCGAGGGAGAGGATGATGAGGAGGATGGCGATGACGCTGAAGATCTGGAGGATGAGGATGAAGAGGACGTTGAAACTGGGCTGTGTGAAGATGAGACAACTATGGACAGCACAGGTCTTGTTCGTAGTCAAAGCAGTGAATTAGTAGACAGCCGTGGCATGATGATGATTATGATGGGCGATTTGCCTGCCAATAGCGCATCTGCAGTCGAGGCTTCGCATAACAATATCCGTGTCACACCTGTCTCTCTTGCTGAGCATCGCATGTTAAGCTCAGCACATTCTTCTCAGGCTCCAAATGCAAACCCTTCATTATCTACTACTAATGCTTCTCTCATAACTACCATTGCATCTACTATTTTGGCCACCCAAAAGTCTTTAGTCTCAACTAGTGGCCGCAGACATCAACGGCTTCATACTGGATATCCAAGTGGATTACATATGCAGCAATTGCAGCAACAGCAACAGCAAGCTCGTTTATCAGCCTCGGCAGGCTCAGCGCTTACTAACTCACGAGCGAATAAATATGCGTCGGCCAAAGGTATCAAATATATCGAAAATCATTATTTTATTGAGAGTTTATTGTTTTAAATTGGCTTTAGTCATTAATGTTATTACTAACTTTACCTATTTCCATTCTCTATATCATAAATATATAGATTGATTTTAATTTTAGCCATGATTGACAATGTAACTGTTATTGGCTTGGTTATATTCAATATGTTGCTGCTGCTGAGCCTACTATAATTTTTGTGGATTATTTTGAAGCTTTGAATAATGCCACTGCATTTCTGGGCCTTTGAAATTTGCTTGTGGAGGGCTCTTTAAGAGAAATGAGATTAGGCTGAACTTTAGTAAAGATAAAGCATCATCCACCTTTGACCACTTACTGTATGGTATAGCGGATAGTTGAAATGAATAGGCCTCAACAGGTATTTCACTTTTCAATTTAATTTCTAAATAAAATACTTTTTCATTCTAAAAGAATTCCAGGCTTGAACTTGCCTAGGTTTACTCAGCACTCATCAGGATTCTAGATTGGTCGTAAGCTTTAAATAATAAATTTACTACAACTTTCAAACGGAGTAAAGGTCCTCCAAATTCACATTACTTATTACTAGCATTGTAGTCATTAAATTTGCCGTCGCCTGTTTATCGGATGCATAGT